CCTTGCGTAACTTTTCCAGCAAATTTGGTGGTTGCTGGGATGCTTGGCTAGATTGTCTCACCGGATGGGACGTGAATTTTATACGTGGCTATATCGGGGGGCCCAGGCCACATCCTTTCTGTAGAGAATTGCAGGGGCTTAAGCCTCCAATTGTGGTCTTGAGTTGAGGAATTTTTTCTGGGTCTGCCGAGGCCCGGAGTAGGCTGGGAGATGTATCTGCCTGTTTTTTCGACCTAGTACCTGTGTTCTTGGGCCTCTTTCTCGATAGATTCATTTTTGCAAATTTCATTCGATCTCTTGGCCCAGTGTAGGTTCGGTAGTATCTGGACTAGTTCCTAGTGCTTGTACTATTCTCTGATTTAGTCTTGCTAGGACTTCACGGGTACTTATACCTGTCGTATTGCCATCTCCTGCGTTCGCAAAGACCCCTGATGAGTCCGGTACTGGCAACTGGACGAAACGTCGGGTCATCCGCCAGTTGCTCGCTATTTTGTGCTTCACGCTTATTATTGGCTTATCCCGTCGCGTTCGGGAGTTGTTTTACTACTTGTCAGCTTGTCTCTCTTCCTTTTCTCCATTGGTGTGATATTCTTTATCTCCTTTCCTTCCGATCGTCTTGTGTCTTTCTCTTCTCTTTTTTTCATTGGTGTGATGTCTTGTTATTAACTATTCACATTTGGTTGGATGCATGTGATACTCTCACCAAAAACACGGCCGTGACTTCTGAGCTACTCACGGGAAAAAAAAAAAAAAGACACTCTGGTAGTGTACCAGCTGTAGGAAGAAGAAACAAGGAAAGAGGGCAAAAAGACAAAATCAGCTACTGGAGCCAATACCTGTACCGGTGCCCCGCCCAGTCCATGGGAATTTTTCAATTTTCCATGGGAAAACTGGAATTTCCAATTTTTCATGGGAAAACAACTGGTAACGGTACCTCCCATTTTCACCAATTGTTTTTTTTTTTTCTTTTTTTTTTTTTCAAGTGTGGTCCGATGGACCACGGATCAGATATTAAACTGATCAGAACAGATACTACACTTGATCTTCGCCAATTGTAGAACTGACAGAAAAAAAAAAAAAAACGTATGGGTATGGGTACGGGTACGGGTATGGTACCTATTTTTTTGCAATTGGTAACTGCTCTCCACGAGCAGCTGCAGTATTTCTGCAGCAATCCAAATAGGACACCACAGTCCGGGGCAGTCGTCTTAGAAAAAAAAGAATGGAAAAAAGACTGACAGAATGTATACAGAAAAACGCACAATTCACTGCAATATGTGCAAGTCATTGCAGCACAATAAAATTTGAGTCTGCTGAAACTAGCCCAATTTTTACCATTCTGGTATCTTTTGAGTTTTGCGAAAAAAAAAACAAACAGTACCGATTGGCCTAACTCAAGGACAACTCACGCTATCACTCTTCTGAATGCATCTGATGGTCATTACGGCCCGGACCTGGATGGATCTGGCGACATATCCATCCAGAAACAAGTAACGACGTTCTACTGGTACTCTACCCTCAGTAGGTACACCCCTGAATAGTTCACATGCAGACGTGAGTTCGAATCCCTACGTGAGCGGGTCTGTTCCAATGGTATCATCTCAAGGCCGTCGCCCGATCAATGCAACTGCTTTTTTTTTTGTTTTTTTGTTTTTTTTTCTTTGTTTATTTTTTCTTTGCTTTTTTTTTATCTGCAGCAAGTGTTGTATCCATCCACTGCTGCAATTTTGAGAATTTTTGACCAGGTGCGTTCTGCAATGTCGTCTGGTACTTTGCTGCATAGAAATGGCCAGATAGACAAGGCGGGTCCCAGGGGCGATCGGGACTACGATCATGCATGCGGGCAACCGCAGCAACTGCCTGGATTGACGCAAGCCGGGCGTGAAAAAAAAAAAAAAAAAAAAAAGGCGCTGTACTTGGCAGCAAATGGAGTTACGCGGCACCCTCACAATTCTTCGGCGCTGTACTTGGAAGCAAATGGAGTTACTTGTCACATCACTTCCTTCCTTAACAGGGACTCGATCTGTCCCCTCCTTTCGTGATTTTGCGACTTTGACGGCTTAGTGTGAGCATCCTCAGAAATTCGCATTCCGATGCGCTCTTTGCCAGGAGACAATGTGATGGGATCATGGGGACATGATGCATCAGAGTTGCTTAACAGGGACTCAATCTGGCCCCTCGTTCGACCCTTCGCTACAGCCACACTTCGTTCGAACATTATGAGCCTTAAGAGGGACTCAATCTGGCCCCTCGTTCGACCCTTCGCTACAGCCACATTACGATGCGAACATTTCCGGTCTTCGTGCCGATGCCCACTTCCGTCTCTAAGTGGAAGATTGGCATATATATATGATAATATATCCTTTTCATTTTCCTTTCGCACATTCCGCAAGGCATGGAGAAATACATCAAAAAGAGTACGGTCTTTCGAAACAGGCTAGCGGCATTCTCGCACGAGGACATTTCCTACGAAGCGCAGACGTTATTGCGGTCAGATTCATCCAGGTCTGTGATCATCAATGGGGTCGATACATGTGTGAAGACACCATAACATTTATCATTCCGCGAAAAACAAGAGTGCTCAAGATAACAAACCAAACACGAAAGAAGCACAATATTAGGTTATAAACGGCAACAGTTACTCCAAAACCCGAAAAAAATCAGACTTACAGAAGACCACGAGACTCCAGTCATGATAATAAAAATCCCGATTACCTTCGTGGATCGCATCCGAACAATTTCAAGAGCCAAGCTTTTAAAAATTGTCGTACCGTCTACTTCCTACCCTCGACATCTTCTTCCATCCACTTCGGCTCTCTCTCTCTCTCTCTCTCTCTCTCTCTCTCTCTCTCTCTCTCTCTCTCTCTCTCTCTCTCTCTCTCTCTCTCTCTCTCTCTCTTTTCCAGCCAAGACTACCACCCGTCCAGCCATAAGTTTCGCCTCCAAACGATCACAAAANACACCCGTCCAGCCATAAGTTTCGCCTCCAAACGATCACAAAAACTCAACCGGGTAGCGTCCGAGCAGGAGAGAGTGGAACATAGACCATGGCTCCAGCTGCTCTAAGTACTCCTCAACTCTCTTCCTCAGTCAGTGACACCATTGCCAGTACAGGTGGCAGACAAACAGGTTCCAGGACTTCACCTCGCCGTCGACGACCTCTGCTTTGATCACACCCTCAGCGTTGTAGTTCTTCTTGTTGTCGATCCACATCCTGGTCAGGATGTTCAGGCCCCGAACTTCTCCGCAAGGGCTGAACGAGATGCCCTCCGGACAAACCTCCTGAATGGTGTACGACCTGCCAGCGATGGGCTTCTTCAGAGCATCCCACTTGGCAATGCGCTCGCAAGCCGGCTGTCCTCCTTGGTAGTAGTACTTGGCGGATTGATAAGCGACCAGACCCTTCTGCAGCTCCACCCATCCCTGGTAGGTCCACTTGCTGGCCACATACGTCCAGCCAGCAGGATAATCGAGGTCGATGCTGATGGTGCACGACTTCTGACGGTCCTTCAGTGCCGCTGGAACGGCCACCTGGTACTCCAAAAACGGAATGGTGACGGCCTGGTTATCGGCAGAGATGCTGACTAACGGTGTCTCATGTGGACATCCCGACCCAGCAACGGTCACTTTCCTGATCTTCACAGCGCCGAGAGAAACTTGTGCGGGGCCGAGCAGCCGGCGAGGGCCTGCAGCCTCAACGTTATGCACACCTGCGGCCGCCATAGCCGCAAACATCACGATCATCAACAAACCGCTAGCCGACGTCATCGTCGCTAATGGGATTCTCAGCTCCTCGTGCGTAGAGAAAGGAAAAGCACACTCCAACGGGAGATCTCTCCCAGGCACAATAGCTCGCTCACTACCGCCCCTCTCTCGCTCTCTCTGTCTCACACTACGCAGGCCAGTACCTCGCAGAGTGGTTCGTGAACGCATACGCTCGTGTGCAGAATGAGTTCTTGCACGTTTTTATAGGATATCCGACGAGACCGAGCCACCCAAGTGCATGGGTCACACGCGAGCCTTGTTGTCTCGTCCGTACTGGGAATCTTCGCCGTCTGCCTTGAGGCCATCTTTGCCCCAATAGAAGGACCGGCCATCGTAGGTGTATTGCTGTGCTGCACGTTTCAGTCCCGATACAGCGGTAGCTTTCGGCCGTTGGATGGAGCGGAGGAGCACGCGATCGGCGATGATCGGAACGATGTCCCCTGGATCGTCGTTGTCAGAATGCATCTGGACGTTAAACGGTTCTGGATGAGGACGTGCATGCATGTTCGGGAATTCAGATCAATGGCGTGGACTGGGGTGGAGTGGACGACGCGATCGGCGGTGATCGTGCGACTTCCCTGGACCGTTGTTGTCAGAATGTATCTGGACGTTAAATGTCGTTGGCTGAGGACGTGCATGCATCTGGACGTTAAATGGCGTGGACTGAGAATGAATCTTCCGCTAGACCTTCGAACGATGCACACGCCATATTTTTTGTTGGTTCTGCATGTCCAGGGGCTACGTCCCACTTGCGCGAATTAAGAGATACTGGCCGTAGATAGCAAAGATCAACGGCCGAAATCTCCTAATTTGCGCAAGTGGGACCTTGCGCCAGAGTAGTGGAGCGAGCTCCAATGGCGATCGTGGACTCGGATGTAGTTGCAATTTCCTCGCCCTTATGCCTCTGACTGTAATTACGATCACATTCCGTCACGAAGAGAAGTCTGGGCATGAGACTTTGTACACGTGGCCAACTGTCGAAGCCACCCTCTCTCTCTCTCTCTCTCTCTCTCTCTCTCTCTCTCTCTCTCTCTCTCAAACACACCAAAGAAATGGCAGGGAATTGTCCAGGCCTGCTCCAGATAAAATGGAAAATGAACGAACCATAGATGATGCCCAGATCACTCAGAAGAGAGTCATAGAGTTGGGCCGCAGGCCCGCAACTCACCAACGACGGGCTCATCTCCAAGACTGTTGGATGCGCACCAACTTCAGGATTTTATTTTCCTACCTTATTTATTCAGTCTTTTCACATTGGACGATCTTCGTCATCTACGGTTGGGAGTTTCATGGATCCTACCAGTCTTTCCTGTTTCTAAGATCTACGGTACGACCAGTTTTACAACCAAGATCTTCGGCCTTTTCGGAGGGGACCGGTGGGACCCACCCGGCAGGAAGCAGCCCCTCAGTGGTCCGGCCTCCACTGCCTCCAGTCGCGGCGAGAGTATATGTAACCGGTGCAGGACCGGTCGCAGCAGGCTGAGTCAACTCGCGCTGCCCGCTCTCTGGATTTCTTCCGCCCGCTGCCGCACCCATTGCGTATGCGAATCTGCAAGTCACATCAAGCAAGTTAGCCAGGCGCTCGGAGGACAGGTCGTTTTCATCGCCTATTTTGGCGAAGCGGCCGATTCACCCGCACCGCACTTTGCACAGACCCTTTTTCTCACTCACATCCGCCCTTAGGCCTGCTTTTCCGAGGCTCTGTACCTGTACCACTTTTCGTTCCCTGACATTCTTGCCTGCGTCCGCATCTGCACTACTTTTTGGCTCTAAGTTCCGCAAGCCTTTTTTTTTCTCCCGCTTTCTAACAGATTCCAGGCCACATACTTTGTTCCGAGTTATCAGCTAAACCAGGCCTGAGTTCGGTCTACTAAGAGAGCAAGCACTACAACTACTTAAGTCACCGGTAAGCCTTTCAAAACTCATCATGAACAGCAAAGTCGTGGCGGGAAGCCCGTCACTTTGGGTTGAGGCCCTGTCCCCACCCCATCGGCAACAGTCATCCTCCTCCTCTCAGCCCCAACAATCTTTCCACTCTCCTTCCAAACACTTGTCTCCCTCCTCCTCCTACCACTCTCCACCGCCTGAACAAGCACCACTCTTCGACCCTTTCCTCAAACATCATTTCCTGGCTAACCTTATGCTTCAGTCTTCTTCACCTGCACCACCTCAACGACTATTTCAGCTCTTCGCCTCTCTCATAGACTTCCCCACCTCCAAACCCTCCCCTCCTATAGCCACCGATCCGATACTCGAGAGATTCTTTGTAATAGACCCGCCAACCGCAATGCTGCTTCCCCTTCATCTGTTCGGCCTCCCTCTCTTCACCCCTTCGTCTTTCGTCAAGTTTCAGGAATCTCGGGTAATAACAAGGTACGGATCGCTACTCAATGCGGAGGACATCGAGCGTTTTTGCGTGGACACCGCCAAATTTCGCCTTCAATATGGAGACAAATCTTTTTGCGTAATCAAGCGCAAACGAGCGACGGCGCTGCTCTCGTATTCGCTTTTTTCGGCGACACTGTTCAAGCTCACTTCCGTCGACTCTCGGCCACTTATCTCTCTTTCACCGAGAGAACTGCTTCGGGCTCGATTGGACTTTGCGGAATTTCAGCTAACCTGCGCAAGTGACTTAGCGGTCAACTTTTACTGTCTCGGGATATGTCTGGCTTGCATGAACGACGACGCGTTTTTCTCCTAGGTCAAGAAAGGACTTCTCACCTTGGCCGAGAATCTTTCGGGGCTCGCTTCCTCACCTTTTCTGGCCTATCCGATCGTCGCGCACTTCAAGGAATTTTTTGCCACGCTTGTTGAAGGCGCAACCATTTTTCTCCAACGTGAGGAACTCGCAGACTAGGGACCTGGCCCTTGGTTCAGATACATTAGAAAGCAGGCTTTTGGCAATCTCCCGAATTACTTTCGTTATCCCGTCTTTCCTATTGACTCTTCCCCTCTCTTTATTCCCAGCTACCCTCGCTTTTTCTTTTGCTCTTCAAAGGGCAGAAAGAAGTGTGTAAGTTTTGAGCGCAATGCCGAAGAAAGCAGTTCGGCCACCGACGCAAACACCATCCAGGAAGAAGAAGTCAGCAAAGACTGAGCCAGAAGAGTCATCCTCTTCTGATTCACCTTCCCCCTCTCACCCACTCCCTCTGCAACCCCTCTTTTTAGTAACTAAGCCCCCCTCCCCTTCCATCCAAAACCTCCCTCCGCAACCATCTACCTTGCAGCCCCCCAAAACCCCTAGACAGAGGCGCAAGCCAGGTCTCTATCGCAATCTGGACTTGTTAATCTTCTCCTTGCTCTTCGTTCTCTTCCTTCTTCACCTCTTCACCATCTTCCTTCTTCTTCCCAACTCCTCTCGACACCTCTGTCTTCCCTAATATTGTTTTCACTTGATGATGGCCCAATAAGACCGTCATGGACTTAAGGAATCTTAACCTGTAATTTTGTATGGTTTTGGTTTATTTTGCTTCGATGAGTTGTCTGTAGTTAGTGATTTAGAATTAGCTTTATATGCTTGTCAAAATCTCTGAAGGTCTTGAGGACAGTGTCGATGAAACCTAGCGAAAAAGGCAAGGGCGCAAGCTTAGAATCAGCTTTCCGGATCTTACAAGCCTTCTTCCGCCTCAGTTTTAGCAACAATCTCAATAACTCGTCATCTGGCGATAACTTTGACTTTGCAATGAGCGTACTATTAAGAAAGCACCTCTTGTAATCTCGCATCCTCTTTCCTACACTTATGTCACTACCCTCAATCCAATGAGCTGTCGCAGCATGACCCTTTGAATTCCTTTTCGCCATCTATCTACCAATAGAAGGAGTTATGCGTGACTATGCAGCCTTCACTTGGAATGCAAAAATAATCTCATCCCTCCTTAATCTACTCTACGAGAATGACAATAGACCTCGCGTTAATAAGGCGTCTCAGCTCGATCCTTCGGATTCTCCTCGTTGAACACCCTAGTAACGAAAGGAACTATTCATGACCACGCAGATTCTATCTTTCTGCATATCTACCTTTGTATGAAATTGCAAATGATCTGTGTTAATAGAGTGTCTCAGCACTACCCTCCGATCTTTTCTTCTCGTTGTCCACTCTATTAATTAAAGAACCTAATGACGACCCACGCACGCGCGCAAGAGTTAAGCTCAAAGATCAAAAGGGGGGATGGGGGGAGTACTTATTCGCCAGTTTTCCTCTACCTTTTCCCTAGTCGACTTTGCAAATATTTCATCCTTTCATCATAAACACTAATTACTTAGGGAAGGCAAGTTTTCGCATTTTCGTACTACAAAGAGGCAAAAGAAAAGGCAACAGAAAAAGAAGGCGAATACAGCGGTCAACAGACTCTTGCAAAAAAAAATAAAAAAAATAAAAAATTATATATATCGTCAAATAGAACTGCCCGGTAAACCGTAGGCAGAGAGGGAGAAGAGGACAACAAACGAGGGGCTGTGACAAACTGTTTCGTCGGAGTTTCACCGACTCATCAGGAGGATATATATATATTTTTTAATTAATGGTTGCAGCTTGTAATATAAGGTGAACAAATGAGGTCGGGGAGGTGAAATTTTGACAGCCCTGACTT